GATGGTGATGCTGATCAAGAATATATATACTTTATGGGGTCTAAGGTGTCTCCTTCACTGCGTTGCAAACTTCTGGCCAAAATTATAATACCCTTTGCTCTGCAAGGGTATAAAAACGCCAAGCATACCATTACCACATGGCATTACCATTACATTACCATTACCATGAAACACTGTTGAAGTTCTTAATATGAGAATTTATTTATTATTATTCTCTATATTTTAAAATTTGGCTGATAATATTGACATACTCAAAAAAATGTTTGAAGAAGGAAACAAATCTCTGAAACTGTTACAAATAGTTTCTTTATAACTAATTGTAGTTAAGTTGTTAGTTAGTTGTTCGGCTTTTAAGTTACAATAACTTTTTGGAATTAAGATTTTTCTTATAACAAGACTTCTTCGACATTTTAGGGATGGTGACATGACCACTCTGGATGTGGACGCCATCACGAACACCAGCGATGAGACTCTGACTGAAAGCAATAGCATATCGGAGCGCATCTTCGCCGTGGCTGGAAACCAGCTGCGGGAGGAGCTGAGCACAACTGTAAAGGGTTAGAACAGAACCTATATTATCCAAATAGATAACTCTATATAGTAACTGTGATCAATCTAATTTAGAATGCCGGACTGGCGATGTGCGCATCACGCGTGGATACAATCTGCCCGCCAAGTATGTGCTGCATACAGTGGCACCTGCCTACAGGGAAAAGTTCAAGACGGCCGCCGAGAATACTCTGCACTGCTGCTACAGGTTAGTAGGTCAATAGAACAAATAGAACAATATTTTTATATTGGAGAAAGCCAAAGGAAAATATGACACCCATAAAAAAGATTAAAACTTAATCTATAAACTCGGCAAATGATTCATAGGTAGATCTGCGACTGTTCTTTAATAATAATAATTGATTAAATATACCTGTCTTTCTAATTATAAAATAGCCAGTGACTAATAATTGAGCTGCACCATAATGACTAAGATTGTCATCACATTTAGAATGGCAGAAAATAATCATAGAAAAATGGTTTAATCTTTATATTTAAAAAAAAAAAGTTTTGTTTTTTCTTTATATTCTATTTCCTTAAAAATGTTCCTTATGAAGTGATATTTTCAAAAACAGTTTTGTTAGAATTATTATAATATCGAATATTTTATAAAATGTATTATATTTAATTTATTATTTGTGTGCAGACAATCCTTATTGAATACTCTGAAAATGATCTTTTTGCTTGATATTTTAAATAATATGTTGTTATAGTATTCGTTTTCGCTTAAAGTTATAATTTATGTATGAGCTAATGCTTACTTTATACCCCATTTCTCCTCAGAAATGTCCTGTGCAAGGCGAAGGAACTGAACCTGCACACCATCGCCCTTTGCAACATCAGTGCCCACCAGAAGAGTTTTCCAGCGGATGTGGCAGCGCACATTGCCCTGCGTGAGTAATTCATAAATACTAAAGTGATCCAACTTCTTGAACCGATCTAATAAACAGGTACGATCCGTCGCTATCTGGACAAGTGCACCCTGCAGGTTGTGATATTGTGCGTGGGCAGCAGCGAGCGCGGCACCTACGAGGTCCTGGCCCCCCTGTACTTCCCGAGGGATCAGCTGGAGGAGCGCAGTGCCCTGTGGCAGCTGCCCAAGGACATTGGCGGCGAGTTCGGGGAGCCCCAGCATCCGGATCCCGACCGCCAGATCCGCATTATCCGCAATCCCCAGCACAGTGTCCATATGCGTCATCGGATGGGTGAGTGAACGGGCAGAAAGTCTTAACTATTTAAAATTATCAAATAAGATAAGGCTATTCACTTTCACTTTAAAAAACGAATTCATTGAAATATCAGAAACAATGAGATCAGCAGATATTTTGAAACCCATAAAGTTCTCAACGTAATGACCATTCAAGATTTTTATCTTGAATTCCAATATATTCCCTTTTTGTTTTCTGTGCAATTGCCTGATTGTAAGTTTGCGATTGTGGCTTTCGTCACTGTTTCCCACTGCCAGCTTATCAATCGGCTGTCGATGATAACGTCGCCTATCATGGCAATGATTCCATATGAGGTATATACAATTCCTTTGTTGGCCTGTCGATAAGATAAGCACAACAACAGTGCAAGTGAATACTACTCGAAACACAGCGAAATGTATGAGAAATTCGCTGGTGCGCCGTATGTATGTTGACTTTCTGCCCGACTTCTATGGCTTCAGTTTCGCTGCAAAGTCGGTCGTGTGCGGGTCACCTGCCAGTTTCATTCGATTCCTCAGCCAAAAGTCGCTAGTTTTCGGTTAATTTGAACAGACCTTACATTCTAACTCTATTGTAATACCATTTGCTTGTTTGTAAGTGATTCAAGCGGAGTTTTGCAATAACCTTTTCTCAAAATGTGTAAAATATATGCTAACAAGTGAAATGAAATTTCGGCATTGAAGACTTTTCTTAGCCAATGTCGCAGTTAATTAGTGTCAAGTGACAGAAAGCTGACTGCTATAAAATCGTACCTGAAATCGTTGCATATCTTTAGGCTAAAAATGTATCACTGTAATTTACATTTACTGTTTTAGTTTTGCAGTATTTATAAAGTGACTATTAATTACTTATTTAAATGTTTTTCAGTTAAATATTTTATTGTTCGTTTTTATCAAACTCTACATTAAAGTAATTAAAATTACATCTAAATATAAGTTATATATATTTAATCATATTTTGTAGAACTATAATTTCTGAATCAAATCCAAATTTTTTTTTTAATTTAGTTCTCACAATTTTTTTATTTTAATGAAATCAGCAAAGGTATAATTAACAATTACTTACTCGCCCATAAATTGCGGAAACAATTGTTGATTAGTTAATCCAACGTTTAATTAGAAAAGGGCTTTGATTACACTCTGTTGTTTGAACAAGTTAAGCGAGGCTGAAAACATTTTCGCGCTTGTATTACGTTAGTTTATCAACAAGAGTTAGTTAACTTACTTTTGCGGCGCTTATCACGAGGAGTGTCACTCAAGTGCTTAACGTTGGCCAGTTCATTTTTGGGCCTAAATCATGTCACCGCAGTCAAGTTATCAGCCTTATCAGTTATCTCCCGAGAGCGATGCAAACGGAGAGCTTAAGAGAGTAATGGAAAGGGGGGGAAAGGGGGGCGTATTCAGTATCCAGTTTTGCTCAACGCTCGTGCGTTTTACCGCTCGCTTTGCCGCCTCACTTGCCAAGAGCTGGCGATCAGTTCAACTCACATTCCGCAACGCTGAAGTTCGGACACGATTACAGAAAGTGTTAGCCCTGCGCCGATAATCGAAATCCAGCGCAGAATGATAAACAACTCGTTCGAGTTCTCGTGTAAAGACCATAAACCCCTTTTCCCAAACGAAAGATACGAAATGTTAAAGATAGCCCCAAGGTTTCATCGCATCTTTAAAAGGCTATTTTCCTTTCAATAAAGATCGAATAAAGATTTCATAAAATAAACACCTCAAAGACGGTTTATGTTTTGTATCTAGCTGATAAAGATATCGGATTACGCACTTTGTTTAGTTTTATTAAGGACAATATGTTAGTGGAATAAAAAACATTTATCCTTTTAAGGATCATAAATATCAAGACGATCATCATGTTACCTCTATATAGTTTTCTTAAGAAACCAACCAAGCTAAACGTGTCTTAATTTCACTTTTTCAGCCGACGACGATTCAGACGTAAGTCCACACGACATGGAGGGAAACAGCTCGGATCTGGAGAGCGGAGCTCGGGACATGAACGGTCTTAGCCTGAACTCCTACAGCAGCGGATTGCAGGCTCAGCTTCAGGTTAGTTGCATTTGAGCACCTTGAACGTGTCTCGGTTTGCTGATTTATGGACTTCTCTGACCTCCGGAACAGCGCGATTTGGACCGGCAGCACCTGCTCAGCGATCGTCCGCGCAACGGAGTTTACGAGAACGTCATTTCCGAGGGCGTCGAGGGCATTGAGCATCAGGAAAGGTAAGTTTTACACCTTATTTCTGTCAGAAATCTACTAATAGCCCAGTATAATTTATAGCTAGAGGGCCACATTAGAATTATAAAATATTTCAGGGGCTTACAACTTTCTTATGCCGATATATGTTCATACACCAAATTGCTTTAGTTAAATACCTTAAACTGCGGACATTAATCGATTTAAGATCTTAACAGAATGTTCTGGCAAATTTTGTTTCAATTAGCACTTAATCGAAAAGTAAACCCGCTGTTAAGCTAACATTACTAAAAGTGAAAAGCCTAAGATTTGTTTAGTTAGTGAATCATATGTACATATATGAACTGAAATCGTTTTACGTGAAATGAAGTCGTGAGCCATGCTGAGGAAGATTTGTTCAGTTCAAGTAACAAGAAGTTAAACTTTCAGAACTCAGGTATTGGACTCACTTGTTTGTCTAGCCATATTGATAATCTGGGGTATCGGATAACGCACTGCGTCACTACTTTTCTTGACTGTGGGAACATCTGCAGGTCGTAAAGCTGTTCGGCAGACACAGTATTAACTTTTACCAGTGACTCCACCTTCTCCGCCCATAAACACCTCGTAAGCAAGCCTTCGAGCAGCATATTTATTACAAGAGCATGCCGGAAATATCTTAACCGTCTAGCAAATGCCTTTCCTCTTTCATTCGCTCTATGTAAATTCCGCCGCTTGTCGAAATTTTAGAGACCCGTGGCACGCAACCCGGGCACTCAGGACCAGGCTCAAATTGAATTGAAGCGGTTCAGAGTGGAGTGTGGTGTGTGGTGTAAGAAAGGTGCTTGTCCATCGTCCTGCACAATGCTAATTGGACTGGCCAAGTGTTTTCGTGTGTTTTTCCTTGTGACGCCAACTATGACGTCGGAATATGAAACACTCTGGCGTCATAGTTGGCGTGAAGTCTTCAAAGCCCCCTGAGCTGAGGAATATTTATAGCTTTCAGTGTGGTCATTTTGGGGGCAGGTCTATAAAAAGAGTTCGTTGTTGATAAGAAAGGTACTTTTAAAAGTCAAGAGGTGACAGTTGCCAAAAGTTAGGACGAAACCTATTTTTGCCATTAAATTTATTGTGTAAAATCATTACCCTTTAAATTTTTTTAAAGTCAATTAAATATTTAACAGGTAAATATTATTACTCCATAAGAGTCGAGACAAAAGCTTAAAAAAATTAGTACACGTTTTAAAATATTATTTGTTTTCCAATTTACGTGGTGAAATAAGCTAAGAGGTAAATATTTATGAATAATAACTAATGCTTATATAAACACAGATAATGTCTGTGACAAAACAAAAATTGATAAACTCTTGGGAGTATAATCTCTATTAAAGTAGAAATACGCTTAAATAAACCCCCTACCAATAATGTCTTACAAGCAAAATGATATTATGTGTTTAAAGATTAAAGTAAACCAAAACAAAATCCTAAAAAGTCTTAAGCAAACGATTAAATGTATTAATTTAAGTAAATGTTCCATAATATTTTTTCAAAATTATTGAAAGCCTTACAACGACTGTGGATTACGTTATTTAAATGCATATTCTCGCCAAATATTGTTAAAATAATTGTATTGTTAAAATAATCAAATTGACAGATGGATCGGAGTGGGAATATAATCCGGTCGTAACCGGATCGGCCGGTGGCAATATAATCAGAATATCGAACCGTTGCAGTTCATTGAATGAAACCGCACAAATGCCTCTCACACATTTTGTAGACATTTAAATGTAACATCTCTCAGGCAACTTAATTTATTCAACCGATTGTATGGAGAGGGGGGAGGGGGATACTATGGGGTGGTGACAACTGGGAGCCGCTTCCTGGACCAGTTTTTGTTGTCATTTTTTGAGTGCGTGCGGGGGGAATGTACCCCACTGTTCAGCCGCTTCTTCTTTTGCGCTTTTAATTAATTACAATCTGAGGTCATCCAGAGACTTGCTGAAAAGAATAAGATCAATATTTTATATAACATATTTTGTATTGAATACCAATGGCTAACACTGTTTTTACCGGTTTCAAATTAACAATAATTATAATATTAAATGCAAGAGATCTTCAAAGCTATAATTATTTTCAACTGTGCACTTGTACAATGAATATTTGCGTAAATATGTATGAGTCAACAGTGTTGTTGTTTATGTTTACCGTATTGTTTTAACATTCCATTTTGATGGAAATGTTGCACATTGCACGCATACGTAGGCCATTCTTTTTAACTGTACAAGTGTGGGTGGGTGGAAGAACCGAAATAGAATTTTTGTGTTCGTTTTTTGCGCATTTAGCTGCCAACTGACAACGCAAACATTTGAACTGATTTCATTTTTTGGACAGTTTTGTTTTAGCTCCGACTGACATTAGTGCAAATAAAGCCGCGAGCATGTTGTCCTTGGGCTATTGTTGTTGCTGGTTTTGACACTAACTGTTCATGCTCTTATTCTTGGCGTTGGTGTTGTAACTGACTGTCATTGAAGAGGCGAAAGGGCGCACGCTCCAAAAATAACGAAGAGTGCTTTTACTCTCTCCCGATACACTTAAAGAAAAATGAGAAGCAAATCAAATGCGCAGGTCACAAATGTTTATATGCCTTGCCTATTCTTAATTTACCAATTAGAAAAATATTATAGAAAGTAGTCATTATCAAATTTTTGGGAGTGGAACTGGGACAGTGAACTGTTTTCTTGTGAATTTGTAGAGTTTTTTCTATTAATTACAAAAAGAAAGTAAAAACATAGAATGTAACACTTTAAAATAATTTAATTTAATATTTTTGTATAAGCGTTAAAATATAAATACCCCATTTTTTCTTTCTGTGCAATATCATCGCGTGGGAGAGAACGGAAGCCAGAGTTTTCTTTTGCGGCGACGTCGCCTCTCTCTCTCTTTCTCTCCTTCTCTCTCCTTCGCGGCTGCTGGGGCGGCGAAAAAGATTCAAGAGCAGCCCCACTCGCCGCCAACTTGCTCATTCGAAAAGCTCCACTCGCGGCGAACGGACGTGCATCGAACCATACACAAGTTCCGTGACGGGCGCGAATTCTATATAAATCGGTGATAAATCCATAAAATCGCACAGAGCTAAAAGTTGAAAGTATAAAAGGAAAACTATTTTCGCATTTCCACTCGCGGCTTCCGTACAACGCAAAAGTCTGGCCATCTAGCTGCCCACAAATACTTATTATTTAACAGAAAGCAAAAAGAAACACCCTGAACTATTTATAAGTATTTAGCGAAAGGAAAAAACAAACCGTTTTGCGTCAATTGAATACAAAATTGGGTTGAAAACAGCGACGAGCACATCAAATCGGACAGTTAACTCTTAAAAAACCAAATTTCTATTTTGACTTAAAATCGATAAACCGTAATTGTGCGCGAGAGGCGAACGTCGAAGTCAAAGGGGACCGAAAGTAGTGCCACCCACCTACAAAACCAGTAACAACTACAACAGCAACCGAAAGTAGAGTGTAAACTATGACAATGTTAGAAGGAATGACGTCGATTGACTTGGGCTCCAGTCCCATGCAAGAAACCACGGGCGACATGACTGTCGTCCTGCCCGATGAGCTCATGGAGACACCGGAGGAGAGGTAAGCCCCCGAACACGGGATTCGGAGCTCGGAACGGGGTGCACGATATATACTATATCGAAATGTGTCAGTCACGGAGTCGGACAGGCTATCACCGCCCCACTTCCGCCTCCTGACGATAAACAATTGGTCCTCGACAAGGCTTAATGACGTCAGCTGTGGGTAGGGGTGGATGCAGTAGTACTTTTCCAATTCGTCAGAAATATATAGAAACATTGAAAATATAGTCGGAATAAAACCCTTTTAGCACCTATTATTGTAAAATCAACAATCGAAATTGGTTTTTAGTGTATCACACAAAAAATTTAAAAAGAATGCTGCAAAAAAAGTTATTTTAAATTTTTCTACTTTCGCTATTCTATGGAAGATTTTTTAAAGTTTTAAGTACAATTTATATTATTTTGTCATGGCACACACACATTTTTAAAATTTATAAAAACATTAAAAAGACGATAAAATTGAACTCTTTTTAGGAAAAGAGAATCCCAAGGAAACTTAGCACAAATCCTAGTTTCTAAAGATCAACTGTACTATTCCAATATAACCCGCTTTGAACTCTATCGTGCATCCTTTAGTTGTGGTGCAGTTTGTCCCTGACTTGCAGTTGATTTAACCAAGGCAAACTCTAGCTGTTCACCCACTGCGCGGGGAACCCAAATAGAACGTTTCGGCCTTGTTTTTCCGTACGTGCCAGTGAGCAATAACATGCAATGTGAGTGATGCCAGGAAATGTGATCTAATAATAATGTTATTACTTCTCTGAGCCGCTGACTTGTTAAAGTGTGAGATTTATTCTATGGATTAGCATTGCGGTTTAATATTCATTGTACATTTCGCACGATAATCACATTTAGGGGGCACCACCCACGAAATCCACCTGCATCCGCATCCGCAGCTGTATCTGTATCTGTATCTGTATCTTTAGCTGGGCAAACACCAATTTCGAGATTGCGTTTGGGATTGTGTTGGCTAAGACTGCGTCACAATGCGTCATATTTAGGCATTATCTGGTGCTTTATCTGGGTTTCTCTCTGCAGTCTTAAAAGGCTTATCGGTTGCTGCTACCGGAGTTTACTGCGGCACGAGGTGCAAAACATCAGATCTCGTCCCAAATCAGTTTGCTTAATCATAGCATTAATTCACCTGAAATTGACTCACATAAGTTCGAATTTAGCAGGGGCTGAGGTATTCAATTAGCCAACTCGAATGTTTGTATTTCGGCGTGTGGCTTCGCAAGTTGTTAATCACTTTAACAAAAGGTTGCACCTCTGAATATTACATAGATATATATATTGATTCCCATTTTCCCTTCGCAAGTGACTCATGAGCAGTGATTTTTCATTCGCCAATTAAATGCAGCTTTCCACATTTGATTTGGTGGCCTATTTTCTCTGGTCGTTCCCAGTCTATTTTTGTACTTTTATCTGGGAAATGTTTGCCTCGAATTAGGCACAAAACAAGCAAATAAAAGCAAGCCAGCTAATACACGGGTTTAGCACGCCTTTCAAATTTATAATTCGCCAGGCGGATAAACATGATGTTCAGCGCTTTTTGTTTTTTTGCGAAATGAATTTTCAAGCAGTCGGCCAAGGCGACTTAACAGCAGATTCTGGTCGTGACAGACAGTCGACTGCTGCCGTTGAATGCTTATATGGCCTGGAATTGCGTGACGCCACATAATAATCGATCGAACTTCCCCCCCCTGGCACCCAATCAAAGCGGGCTCCACATAATCGCCTCGTTAATAGTTATATGCGTAGTACTTGAAAAGTCAGAGGCCAGAGAGCAAACAAAATGAAAGGAATCTGAAAATAGCCAGGCATGCGTGCAATCCATTTTGCAATCGATCTTACGTGGAATTGATTGCTCGAGGGATATTCAATTTGTGAGAAAGATTAGTTGTTGCAAATATTTACTACGTACTTAGACCAATGGGTATTTGCAGAATCTTCTTGGAAAGGAAAGGGTACCCATGTAAGGTTAATACGTACAACGGATACATGCATTATCTCAGAAATTGATTACTGGGTGGTTATCGAATTTCTAAGGAAGATTCAGGTGTGGAAAATATTTAATGCTTCCTTGGATTATAGTAGATTTACGGAATCATTTTTATTATTATTATTTTGGACTTTTATCTAGCAAATGTATTCCTCAAAAACATTGGTTGAGCACGACATTTAAATTTATATTTTGTCAGGCGTATTATTATGATTTTCAACGCTTTTAGTTTTCGTTAAATAAATTTGGTTTCATGAACTTTCACAACTTTAGCAAGAGTCCTGCTTTAAAGAATAATGCTGTTGAAAGTAAATTATTTATTTAATCTTGGCAAGTAAATAATCAAAAATTAGGATACAACTTGATACAACTTTTTCCAAAAATATATGCTTTAGAAAATGAAAAATAAATCTTTTCAACAAGTCTAGCGTCATATAATTTTGCTGACATTAATGTCTGTTATTTTTCTTCCAGATACGAACGCCTTTTGCGACGTGCCCAGGTCGAGGACTTGACGGAGGTATCGGGTATTGGATGCCTTTACCAGAGCGGAGTGGACCGCCTGGGTCGGCCTGTGATTGTGTTCTGCGGCAAATGGTTCCCCGCCCAGAACATTGACCTGGAAAAGGTACTGACTTAAAGTTATTTGTTCTATAAATAAAGTACTAAATTTATTTGCTCTCCAGGCCTTGCTTTATCTGATTAAGCTACTGGATCCCATCGTTAAAGGAGACTATGTCATCTCCTACTTCCACACGCTGACATCCACAAACAACTATCCATCGCTGCACTGGTTGCGTGAGGTCTACAGCGTGTTGCCTTACAAGTGAGCACTTTTTATATGGAACTCCTGAGGAAGGATAATGCACTAAGTTTAAATTGTTTTTTATAGATACAAGAAGAACCTGAAGGCCTTCTACATTGTGCACCCCACGTTCTGGACTAAGATGATGACCTGGTGGTTCACCACATTCATGGCGCCAGCCATCAAGGCCAAAGTGCATTCGCTGCCGGGTGTGGAGCACCTCTACTCGGCCATCACAAAGGATCAGCTGGAAATTCCCGCCTACATAACCGAGTACGACATGGCGGTAAGTTGAAATGAATTGTGAATCAATTTTAACAGATATTTAGTAATTATTTATTCACACTTTCAGACCAACGGCCTGCATTACTTCAATCCTGTGCCGACTGCCTCGTAGATGGCGGCCATCGTTGCTGTCTAGGACAGCGGGCAGCCACCATAGCATATACACACATATATATACATATATATATATAGATACACACACAATTGTGAAGTTTTTATAGATTTTATAGAACGTATTTTGTTTTCTTGATAAGTAATATTTGTTTACTTGCGCATAACTTTCGATGTTGTCGTTTATCGATTGACTTGCCGCAAGTTTTGTTGAACATTGTGTAGCATACTTTTATGGGAGTGGCCGAGTCGCCCGATCCCCGAAACCAAAACCAATTAGCTAAAAGATAAATCGGCAGCCCCAAAAACAACCAGATAATTGTGTAAAACATTCTTATGAAGCGCATGGAAATTAGTTAATTAGTTGGCATCGGCAGAACAAAACCTTGTTAATTCGCTAAATCTAGAAGTTGAACTATTGGTAGGAGGTGGATAGGGTTGATGGAGGACTCGTTAACGGGATAAGAAACCAAAAGAAACCAAAATGTTAGCAATGCTGAACAAAATTAAATTTGATTAGAGAACCTGCATATACAGATATACAAGATTATTCTAAATATTAAATTGATAAATTGTACTTGATTACGGAGGGGGAAATATAAATGAATAAGTATACATACATATTGTTAGTTATCTTTGCAATTACAAATTGTATTATTAATGTATTAATACTAGAGCTAAAGCGTATGCAGTTTGATCCCCCGATATATACACACACATACGTACTATAATTCAATTGTATTTATACATAACTATATACTAAATATACACAACTAATAAATTGAAACCAAAACCGAACTCGGAGGAGAAGTCGACTCGTAGCAAAGCATACATTCAAGTATATTTTGAAGCTCTGAGAAGTGCGGCAAGGAGTCCGCAGAACCTTTTGTAGATACTTACTAGAGCTCACCGTAAGGCCCTCCCAGCAATCGAAACACCAATAAAGAACCTAACGAATAACGAGTAATGATAATGAATACTGAATACTGAATACTGAATGTTAAATGTTCAACTTTGATATGAATATGTTTAGGCGCAGGAGATTTCCAACTCGAGACACGTCCCCTTTATCTTCCATGCACCGTTTGCGCTCAAAATGAATATAAAAAAAAACCCAGAATCAAAGCCAATAGCACGCCACTGCTATACGTATATATTTGTAATTGTGAGATATATAGGTATTGTAATTAGTCGAATCAATTATGGCACTCGATGGCAGTAATCAGAAACCAGAGCCACACTCAAAACACTGCGCACCACCAGTTGAAGAGCCAAAAGACCGCCACAGCCAACACCAGCAGTTGATTTAGCAACTACGCAATTACATGCAAAGTAAAATGCACTCAGGGATTGATTTAAAACAAAAACCAAATAAGAAAAGAAAAACTAAAATCCAAAACGAAACGAAACAAAAACCTAAAACCTAAAACCAAGTGAAATTTAGATAAAAGACAAATGCGCTTTCCTCGAACCACAATCGGCAGCCTGGCTAGTACCTTAAATGAGAAATCAGTAGAGTTTTAGCGAAACACCAAAGTGAGATAGTTTTTTGGACATATTCTTATAGGTACCTACATATGTACGAGTATGTCGTAGGCAGTTCAACCGACAATTATGCCAATTACATATTTTGTATTGCCTCACCAGCAGAATTTAGGAGAACAAATATCGGACAACAATAATCAGAATCACGGCAATTACCCAAACTAGTCTACTCAAAAGTTATGCTTGTACGAGAACCACCCTACAGGAGTACAACAATCGGGATGCATATAGTACACGTGGTGTACCACCCATCTATGGCTTACTCAACTGTTATCGAAAACTAATATATAATAATATAATACAATACAGAGTCCCAAATCGAGAATCCAGTTATGCCAAGTGTTCCTTTCTAAAATATATATATTTAGACGAATACTTTTCGTAATATTTGAATATTTGTAGGTAAATCTAAAAGCCAACTACAAATAACTAGTAATCTCATTGAATCTTAATATTTCCCCGATTTTCCCTTCTAATATTGCTATTGCTTTAGCGTTAACAAATTCAAACAAAACCAAACAAACAAACACTCAAAAGAAAGCTAATAAAAATTTGATGAAAACTGATTCGATTCGTTGCTAAATTAATGAAAATGTACCTTTGCAAGGATTTCAGCGATCGATTCTTTCCTAGCGTAGCACAAATTCCTTATAGTTGTTAAACGGAATCGACATGAAGAATGATCGTCGTGGCACAAAAAGCGAAATTAAGTTAAGTTTTTCCAAAAATTCGAGAATCCAGCTCCTTGTTCTTTTTGTATATATAAGTACATACGAGGTAAAAAATTTAATTGGTAATTAATAAAATGAAAAAACAAAACAAGCGCTTTCTTCAAACAAAATCTACAGTGTCTTGAGTTGCGTTTCAATTAAGATTCCTAATTGTATTGAAAATCACATTGTCTGAGGTATTTTCCAAAGTTATTGGATGACCAGCCTGCTCTGCGGGGAGTTCGGAATATACTTCTCTTTGTACTGTTCAAACATCTTCTCCAGAGCCTCGCACACCTGTCCATGGACCTTCTCCACATAGTCGGGATCGGGACTATCGCTTTTTATCACATCGATGGGAGACCCAACTTAAATAACAAGGATATTAGTTGGTTTACAGTTAAATGGGTGGTCAAATATAAATTGTTACTCACCAACTTGAACAATACGTCGGCGATAGGGCAGGATTCCATAATTGTAGTTGAACATACCACGACCCTTGGGTAGAAGTGGTGAAATGCCTATGAATTTCTTAACAAAGTTTTGAAAGTGACGGAGCTTGGAGTCCGGCGGATTGTCCACCTGATCGAAAATGTCCACCTCTCCAAAGGAAAACGATGGCACTATCGGTGAGCTAAGGTCAGGGGGATGTTATTTTCGTAGGTTTTCGTAGTTTTTTGACTCATCACTCACCCCGTTCGAATGGCCAGTTTGACAAATCCCTTTCGATTCTTCAAGGTCAAAATATACTTTCCGGGATGGGATTCCATGGACTCCTGAGCTCCTCCAACCAGAACAGCCACCGCATTGGACGTAAAACCATCCCGATTGTCCTCATGCTTGGGATCATTTGACTTATTTAGTAGATAAGCCAGGGATTCTTTGGCAACCGACACCATTCCCCACCAGCGTAATAAATCTCGTAAGAAGGGCGTTTTAAAATGCTGATCCATGGTGGCAATCTTTGGTCGAACTTGGGGAAACAGCTCCAGCCATTTTCTAATGTCCAGGCTCATGTTAATACAAACTCCAGTTCTTGGTAGTAAATAAGGATATAAAACATTAATTGGATTTTTATTTTTAGTTATAAACAGATTTACCCCAGAATTCCGTGTGGAAAGCTAGCTATCATATAATTTTTGTTTGGCGGCAGCTCAGCGGTTTTAACAAGTTCAACGGGAAAATAATTCCGATATCTCCGAATACTGCGGTAATATAACCATCTAGGGCAAATTGATTGTATTATTATCTTTACAGTTATTGGATCGTTCTGCTTTTAACACTTACCCATTTCCCTCCATGGCGCAGAAGTTGTATTTGTAGTCCAAGTAAATCTTAACAAAATATACTAAAAGTAGACTGCGCAGAAGGAGTCCACCGTAAAACTAAAAAAAAAAATTTTTTTAAATGAATTTTTACATTTTTTAAATATACAATTTTCTTCACAGAAAAAAATCCTATAATATACACATTAGTACACATTACATAATTTTCTCGTTTTGATTTGTTTTGATTAAGTTTACAGGTGGATATTTAACATTTTCTTTTTTTTTTTGGATTATAAACAGTGGCTGCGATTCAATACAAATAAATTTTTACACCATTCGGTAAGTGGTATTTTTAATTCCCTAAATATTAAACTTTCACGGGTGTTATTATATTAATTCATTGATATTATCACTTTTTAATCATTTATTTTCAATATGTAAACAAGGATTACCAGCAGGATAGCAACTGCGAGCCAGGATGTAATGGGTAGCGTGAAGAAGGTATAGGTGAAGAAAGCTGTGACCAGAGTCTGGAGACGCCGATGCAGCGGAACTCGTAGAGGAGCCCATTCGATTTTCATGTTGTTACAGACCGATCGTTAAAACAATGAAGCGACTCTTCCGACGATTTTCGAGCGACTGAGCCATCGCACAGCACAAACAAACAATTTCCAGGGTGTATCAGTTGTACTTATACTTATCAACGCGACGACCCGCCTCTTTGGGTCGATCCATAAGAGTCGTTAACAGTTTGAGAACCTCACTTGAACGATAACTCACTGATAATTGCCTAAAGCCCAGCACTAGACTTTGTAAACTGAGGAAGTATGAAGTAGGATTACATCACAGCTTGGTGATTATGAGCGAATTTATTCAGATTTATATTCTTCGATTAGAGTCAAATCAGTCTAATATCGCACAGTTATTGGTTGTTAGGAGTGGCTGTAAGTTTCGATTACGATCGAAACGCGTTGCCTTTAATCGGGGAATGCTGAATCATATCTCGGGTGCTAGTACTATTCCAATGTTTGTATGGGATTCCGGCGGCATTACTATCACTAACCATTTCTTGACCTTTACTCGTAGAACTTTATGCTCCAGTCACACATTTTGGCAGTGGTTCGCAACAGTCACAGAACTCAATTTATAGTGCGTACCCCAATTATGAGTTCGTTGATAAGAGGTATAGTTTGATTTTGTCGTATTTCTACTGGGGATCTGTGTCGCGCTTATCAGGCGAGTGTCTCATTCTCACAAATGCTGATTCATTCAGGCGTTATTTCAGCAAGCTGAAAGTATTATGGTAATTATTATGAGAATGCAGTTTTCGTTTGCATGAAAATCAAAGCATTTCAATAGCCGCTTCTCAAATTGAATGGCAAATAAAACACAACAAGTTCAATAACTAAATCACTTTTTAATCACGGTTAATATCATGTACCAAAACTGCAGTTGGCTTATTTGCTCTAAACAATTCTGCATCTGTTTTAGAGCTTTTTAACAGTATTATGTAATCTTCACAATCTACAAATTTATAACAAAAACATTACACTACTGAACAATCAGTTTAGCACTCTGAGAGTTCTGTAAATATTTATCTTTGTACTGATCGAATAATTTCTCCAGAGCTTCAATGACCTGTCCATGAACTTTGTCCACATATTCTGCATCTGGTTGGTCGGTCTTTACAACATCAATGGGAGAACCAACTTGAAAATTGAAATATTTAACACGCTTAGTATATTTGTAATAATCAAGAACTTAAAACATTAAACTTACCAACTTGTACAATTCGTCGTCGAAATGGTAGAAAGCCGAGAGTGTAGTTGAAGAAACCCCGACCCACTGGAATTAGCGGAGAAACTCCGGTGATTTTCTTTACAAAATTCTGAACTCGGCGGAGAAGAGAATCTGGAGGATTGGCCACCTGGTCGAAAATATCCACCTCTCCAAAGGAAAACGAGGGAACAATTGAAGAGCTAAAACCAGAAAGATATTAAATGGATGTTCCCTATTATTGCACTTAACACTAACCCAGTTCGAATAGCCAATTTAACGAAACCCTTCCGATTCTTCACGGTTATTATGTACTGTCCAGGATGCGAGTCCATGGCCTCCTGAGCTCCGCCCACCAGAATAGCCACTGCGTTAGAGGTAAATCCGTCCTGATTGTCCTTGTGCTTGGGGTCATTTGATTTGCTGAGCATGCGGATGAGGGCCTCCTTGGACACGGAAACTAAGCCCCAGCAGCGAATCACTTCACGCATGAAGGGAACTTGAAAGTGCTGATCCAGGGTGCCCACTTTGGGGCGCACTTGGGGGAATAGTTCCAACCACTTGGAGATTTCCACACCCATGTTAATTCCAATGCCCGTTCTACAAGCCAAATCAGTGTATATTTATATTAAGCGATTAGATTGGGTGTCTATCAGTGCACTTACCCCAGGATTCCGTGGGGAAAGCTGGCCAAGATGTAGTTTCTATTCGCGGGCAGTTCGGCTGTTTTCACCAGTTCCACGGGAAAGTAATCGCGATAGTGACGATGGAAGGGATTAGTGCGAGTTATCATCCAGCTAAGGGAGTAAATAGCATTATAAATATGAATATTTCTCTTAAACTGCTACTTACCCGTTCCCGTCCACCACAGATTGGGTTTTCTTGTGCTGCACGTAGACATAAGCCAAGTAAATCACCATAAGACTACGCAGTAGGAGGCCTCCATAGATCTTTCGAAATTACATAGAGTATTTCTATGCGATCACATATTTATTTATAGTATCAACTTTCTTACCAGCGATCCAGCTACTAGTAGAAAAGATACAGATAATAGTATCGGCAGCATGGAGGTGAAAAAGGCGGTGACCAGTATTTGTATTCGACGCTCCAGAGGAACTCGAAGAGGTGCCCATTCGATTTTCATGATTGCTTCAGTCCAACGATATGAGGTCGAATAATGTCAAACATCCACCAGCTGCTCTTTCGGTGGTTCTCCCACGACTGAATGTTATGAAAAGCAGCGTCGCTCGATTTTCCCCGTATTAAACTTATACTTATCCTTATCGGTAGCATTCGCCCGCATAACCGGCTAATCACAAGCCAACTAACCAGTAGTTCTTTGTTTGGGGCTGATGGGAATTCGAGATTAGAGTGATAAAGATTATAATGTTGGCTTACAATCGTCCGCAGGCAACCGAAATTTTTGGTGCAAAGGTATGCGGCGATTCCTAATTTATTGCCTACTTTGGACTTTAAAAGCAGTATGATTCAATTAGCACTTTATGCTGTGTGTCGTATATCTTCTGACTAACTAAAAACATAGTTGGGTGATAAGAGCTATTTCTGTACCTGATCGATCTGGGAGTACTTGCGACCTTAAGTACAATAATCGACAAACAATTGAATGATGCAATAATTGCTTATACTAAGCTTTAATTCTGATCAGATTACAGAGTGTAACATCTGCAAAACTGGCTTTAGGGAGTTATTAAAACTGGAAAACAAGATTTAGGGGCTAGACTTAACTTTTTTCAGTCATAGTGTCTTTTTGATATAAGTCAATTATCCAATCGGTCTTATATTCTTTCAGATTTTTAAAATTTAGACCGCCGTTACGTATTGATCGTTCATCAACACTATCAACCCCCTAATCGATATTTTGAACTGCCACCTAATCGATACCAGTTTGTTTAAATTTTTGATCACTACCAACAGTTTTAATGAGCTTTCCCGTAAAATTAAATACATTTCTAGGACGAGTAACTTTGTTTATATTAAATGCTTACAAAGCATTTTTCAATCACATTTTTTTAAAATTAAATATAACAGTTTAGCTTAGACTAATGAATGATAAGCTTGGTTTGCTTGACATTTGGTATGTACAGATCCTTGTACTGGGCAAACATCTTCTCCAGGTCCTCGATGACCTGTTTATGTATCTTATCCACATATGCTGCATCCGGCTGATCGCTTTTTACCACATCGATGGGAGAACCAACTAAAATGATTTTAAAGTTAATATTTGGATGATAGGATAATTAGGGATATTGAGACTCACCAACTTGAACGATTCGTCGACGGTTAGGCAAAATACCAAAACTGTAGTTGAATATGCCTCGACCCAGAGGAATTAGTGGAGAAACTCCAGTAATTTTCTTTACGAAATCTTGTAAACGACGAACAGCGGAGTTTGGTGGATTGGCAACCTGATCTAAAATATCCACTTCGCCAAAAGAAAAGGTTGGCACAATCGAAGACCTATAACCATATGAAACTGTTAATAAGTCCATTTAATTTAGAAAGCCCTGTACTCACCCCGTTCGAATGGCCATTTTGACGAAACCCTTGCGGTTCTTCAGAGTCAAAATGTATTGACCAGGATGCGAATCAAGTGCCTCCTGGGCACCGCCCACCAGAATAGCTACTGCATTGGAGGTGAAGCCATCTCTATTGTCCTTATGTTTGGGATCATTAGACTTGGTAAGCAAATATACCAGAGCCTTCTTGGATACAGAAACTAAACCCCAAGATTTCAAGAGTCCACGCACAATGGGCGTAAGGAAGTTCTGATCCAAAGTGGCCACTTTGGGCCGCACTTGCGGGAATAGTTCTAGCCACTTGGAGATGTCTAGACCCATGTTAATGGAAATGCCAGTCCTATCGGGGATTTCAACATTACCATAAGTATATGTATACAACAGTTTCGTCACTTAAGCGGCCATCGATAAGATTGGCTATCAGTCAACGAGCTTACCCCAGAATTCCATGTGGAAAGCTGGCCAAAATATAGTTTTTATTCGGAGGCAGCTCTGCGGTTTTGACCAGCTGCACGGGATAGTATTCACGATAGTGCCGAAACAGCCAATTATTGCGATTAATCTTCCACCTAAATGAGATTACTTAATTGGCTTTTATGATATCAAAGGTAATTTTACCAGCTTACCCATTGCCGTCCATAATGGAGTGGGTCCTTCTGTGATCCACATAGACGTACACCAAGTAAACGAGCATCAATGTCCGCCACATTAGACTTCCATAGATCTAATATATTACTTGTTATTTTTTGTTGAATATACATATTTTGTATTTTTTTATTTACCAGCAGGGCAGCCACAAGAATATAAGATCCAAACGAAAGTATCATGAAGAACAGGATGAAGAAAGCCATGGCAAACATCTGCCGACGTCGTTCCATGGGAACTTCAATGGGAGCCCACTCGATTTTCATGTTGACTCTATCTGAACCCAAAAACACTTTAAAGTTTAAACTCGAACTGCTAAGTAGCGGCTCTTAGCACGGTCCTCCAACGACTGAAAATTGTCCAATGTTTAGTAACCATTTCTTATCCTTATCTCTGTCCGCCGATGGCGCGAGTTCGTAGCAATCGGTAACCAGCGATTTAACGGCTATTTGCTTGGGGTGTTTAAAAATTCGAACAATCAAGATAGTGACCTGCTTTATATAGACGTCTGGCTGCAATTGTGATATGGTCTAATCATAGCCAATAACCGGCATTTTTAAAGTTGGCTTCAACACGCTTACAATTGTGTTCACCATAATTAATTACACATTTTAGCATTGACTACAACTGGTTTGCCAATTAAAATCTCATTTGAATGCCATTAGAATGGGAACAAGATGAATAAACAAACAAAAATTTATAACAATTTGTGGAGTAACAAGTGAAAAGATTAGCTGGGTTGAGTGGCTACAAAACCCAAATTTGATTGACTTGATAACAACTCTATTTTAATAAGTAATTTTAAATCTTTTATGGCATATCAATGTTTTTCCTCTTATTAGTTTAAACAGATAGTATTTATAATAACAAAAATGTCATATTTTTGATTTATTCAATTATTACATACTATAATGACCTCTCAAGTTTTAAAGTCGCTCTCATAGAAATTGATTACTATTTTTGTTTGGCGACGCGCACGCTACTTAAATGTTTACACACGTAATGGATCCGTTATCGCATTTTAAGAGTAGAACCGACGACGCGAGCGTTCAATATTTAACTAAACAAGCGAATGTACTTCAAAAGTCAGAGAGCAATGCTCGAGATTCCCGTGTGAATGTTACGAGCACTCAAAAGCGATGCAATAATTGAGTCATCGACGTAATGGCGGGTTCTATACGATATTCGTGTAAACTAAAGCAGAGGCAGCTGAGGTCATTAGCGTTTGCATGTGCAGTCGCACGTCTTTATCCAAGAATTACCTGTTTTTGGGTTAGCTATTGCTGCAATCTCACTTACACAAAATCAGGGAAAGCGGACTTATGTTAAACCTACAATGTATAGCAAGGGGTGATCAAGCTTAAATTCAAATAATGGCGCCCATCATCGATTGTGTTTAGAAATGCAATGGGTTAGCGCTGCTTTACACTTTATTCTGATTTATCGGTTTGTTGCAACGCATGCACTTTGCCGACAAGTTATCGTAAATTCAAACTGAGAACTTCAGTGCAAAACTTAAACGTACCACTTAATGATTATTAAAAACAATTAAATTATAAAATTTATTTATTTTCTTTTCCTTGGAATCACACAAATAAATGGTGAAAGGGAATGCCAACGAATTGCCCAATCCTCCTTGGCACTACGATGACGAAGTGCCCACCAGTACTTTGCATTTCAAATCAACTCTAGTCCAATCCACTTCAGTGCAGCAAAGATGTGAAAAACATATCAAAACAAAATAGCGCAAAATATATTCAGCGAGTCCACCGTTTTTCATAGTTCCCTTTTCGCCGCTTTCCTTCGTCACATTTTGGGCCTCAGTTTACCAAGGCGATCCGTGAGCAGCAGTTGTTATCGATCTCGATTTGTGGGATCTTAAAGAATAACTGTTTTAAATATTTTCTATTTTTAATCGTGTGGAACATAAGGGGATAAGAATAAGTGTTTGAGTCAAAGTGCATGGCAAGACGGCAATAAACCCAAGGCAAACTTAAGCATATCATTTGGAATTTTCAATACGCGCACAACGAGAAACTGAAGAAATTGATTTGGAAGCAAAACAGAAAATATGCTGATTTTCTATGCGAAATACGCATTTCTCTTTTGGTTCTTCGTGAGCAGCAATCATGGTGAAATGCTAATGATGAACCAAACGTCCTCCGACGAGATGCTGCTCAATGTGACCGCCTGCACGCAGAATTGCCTGGAAAAGGGCAAGATGGTAGCTGACCTTAAAAACTCAATTAAAATAGAATATCACAAGTCGAAAAAAATTGTAACATTTTTTATAGCTACAGATAATTATATTATATATATAATATATATAAACAGGGCCGGATTAGGGGCAGGGCCGTTGGGTCGCTGGGCTGCGGCCCGGAATGCTATACTTTGGAATAAAACTGATGGATTTTCGTTTGATAATTTCCTAAAAAATGTATTATATGTATTCTCATAATGTAAATAATTTCTGACCGCTAAAGGGCCCCCACACATTGATCGGCCCTGGGCCCCCACATTCTTAATCCGGCCCTGTATACATAACTGAAATCTTTCCATTAAGTCTGAGATTTAAGGACACGAAAAAAATGTGTAATGCTTAATAACAACCAAATCCTATAGGCTTAACCCTATCAGCGGTTGTGCTAGTGTTTATTTGTCGACTTGTATAAAATATTTTATTGAAATGAATTACTTCCTTTGAAGTGTTCGGTAATAATGTAGCACTCCACCAAGTAAAATTTTTGCGTTACAGAATTTTAAAGGCTGTTACAATATCTGCAAGGACAAAGGGACCGCGCCTGGAGCTTTGAGAAAAGTACAGGATAATTTCCAGTTGCAGATGGTGTGCCGCACGGAGTCAGAAATTGCCTTACATATAGATTGGGTCCAGCACAGCAAGGGAAATGAGTCAGCTCCAAATGCCACTTATATAATAAAAGTTTACGGTCCCAAGGAGGACATTTTACAGACCAAAACTTATCTGGTAAGCAAATAATGGTTATCTGTGAGCCAAAAAGAAATTAACAAAAACAGCTTAACAATTTATAAACAGCAAGCATGCAAGCAGCAAACATCACTTGGGCATGATTTTGTATCCTTATAAATTTGCCAAATAAGAATCATCATCAAGATGACCAAGTTAAATAATTTTGTGATGTTTTTTTGATTTCAGTCAGATGAGAACTTTCTGATCTTGTCGGACTTGGAGTCAAACTCCAGCCACGACATAACCGCTCTGGCGATGCACGGGGATGGGAGCTATTCACTGATAGCCAAGGATCTCCCCTTCTCGACTCTCATAAGAGGCTACCAACCCAGCAGAATGGGGGCAGTCAATCTGGTGCGATTTGTCGCTCAGTCGAATGATTCGCATCATGTGGCAGCTGAGATTAATTGGGAGCCATCAGCTGGTAAGCCTTCCTATTTTGTGAAATCTTCCCTTAACACTTTCTGGGCTTTGGATTTCAGAAAATAATTGTTATTTTAATATGGTGTCGTATTCATCTGACACCATGGATATGGGGGAGGCGCAGGAGGTGTACTTCCGGGATGTAAGTTACCAAAAAACATATTATAAATGGAGCAATGTCGTTTAACCCACTTTTTTAGATCAAAAATCTGTACAAGCACACTGTGGACAACTTGGAGTTTGATAAAACTTATCACGTGGGCTTAAGGACGGTGAACATAATGAACCGACTCGAGAGCGCTTGTGAATGGCTGACGATATTTACTCCAACCTGCTTGGACTGGTATCCTTTCAACTTTACACTCTGCCGTAAGTTATTCAACTATCTACATTTTCCTAAAATAATATTAATTTAACTGACAGCTCCTCATAAGCCGGAAAACCTTAGCGTGCATCAGGAACAGTATCTGCCCAATACCTTGGCGATGAACATCACCTGGTCGCGACCCAGTCACTTGCCAGATAACTACACCCTCCACATTTATGATCTACAGGAGGGAAGCAAGAAGGTTAGCTATACGCTCGACCAAAACAGGAGTCACTTCTTCATTCCCAAGATCACGGTGTTGGGCTCCCAATTCGAAGTCCATTTGGTGGCTCATTCGCCAGGCGGCATAAATATCTCCGATTTGATCCTCGACAAGGCGCCGCGGGATGTCTGGCTAATTGGTAAGTGAGATTTCTAACCAAAAAAAAAAAAATAGACTTAATGGAAAAAATTAAAATAGTATGCTGAATCCGCTTGCAATTTACAAACTGTTCCAACTTAAAAAAAACCTTTAAGGTAGTTCTTGAATTCTAACATTTACTCAAATAATTTTAGAAATTGTTGCGTTATGAAACCTTCTTGAGGTTAGATTAATTAGATTATTAGGAGTTTAGGCCTTAAAAAGTTTAGAACAATGCCTTAAAAATTATATACTTATAACTTCACATTTTAAACATGAATTACATTTAAAAATAAGTAAAAGATAGTAGCTTATTAAATTTTTGTTTTTAAGGATGTTTTAGCTTCGGCCTGCTTGTTAAATAACGAATTCATTTCTTTTCTGAACAGAAGGGAACATGGTCAAGCTGGTACTCTTCATTATTGTGCCGATATGCTGCATTTTGATGCTGTGCGGCCTGACAGTTTGTAGGAGGAATCGGACGGATGTCCAGGACCTGAAAATGGAGACCAAGGACGCGAAGACCAGCGAGTTCCACCTCTCTCTGATGGACAATAGTGGTCTGTTGGTGACGCTTTCCCCCAACGAGAGCTTCGACAAATTCGACGAGCTGGAGGTTGAGCCCCATTCGGTGCTCCTACAAGATGTTCTGGGCGAAGGAGCCTTCGGCTTGGTGCGTCGCGGGGTTTACCAGAAGCGCCAAGTGGCCGTCAAGTTGCTGAAAGGTAGTATCAGTATAATAAGAGTTTATTTAAGTAAAGGTTTGATTCTGGTCGACAGATGAACCCAATGAAGAAGACGTGTATGCCTTTAAGTGCGAGATCCAGATGCTCAAAGCGGTGGGCAAGCATCCAAACATTGTGGGTATTGTGGGTTATTCCACTCGTTTTAGCAATCGGATGATGCTACTGATTGAGTACTGCAGTCTTGGGAGCCTTCAGAATTTCCTACGGTATGTTTTTGTAAAAATAGTAACCATCTTATGGAACCTTTTCCTTTTTTATAGTGAGGAGTGGAAGTTCCGTCAGGAGCAAAATGTAGTCGGCCTTAAAAACAACCTTGAGCAGAATGTGGAGAAACGACGGTTCCACCGAGTTCAGCGTAATTCAATTCATGATCGGATAGAAGATATAAATAGCTCAATGTTATCTACTGTGGAAGAGGAAAGTGACGCGGATCAGACCCAAAAAAGCAGTCGGGTTGAGACCTACACACTCACTCGAGCCACAAATGCAGCAGACAACAAGGGTTATGGACTGGAAGATATTGAAAACATCGGTGGTTCCTATATTCCGAAAACCTTAGGGACCGAAAAAGGTAGTACAAGAAAGGACATCCGACCGCAGTTTAAGGTAGAACTTAAGAAGGAAACAAAGCTCGAAGGAAAATTGCGAACTTTTGAAAACAAGGAGTATTTTGACTGTCTAGACTCATCAGATTCTAAGCCAAGAGTGCCACTTAAGTATGCAGATTTACTGGACATCGCGCAACAGGTAGCGGTGGGAATGGTAAGTTACCTCCGTTAATGTGTTGAGTATCAACTTTATCATAAAAAATGCTTTTTTAGGAATTTTTAGCCCAAAACAAAGTAGTGCATCGCGATCTGGCTGCCCGCAATGTGCTGATCTCTTTGGATCGCAGCATTAAGATTGCAGATTTCGGGTGTGTAAAAGGTTTTTTTGTTTAACTGATCCTTTCTCTAAGATTTACATTCGATAAAGACTAAGCCGAGATGTCTACCATGAGAATGTGTATAGGAAGTCAGGAGGAAGCGGCAAACTGCCCATCAAATGGCTGGCATTGGAGTCCCTAACCCACCAAGTGTACACCAGCCAAAGCGATGTGTAAGAACTATAGGACTTCAATTCCATTTCATATTTGAATGGTGTTGTTATACTTTTAGCTGGTCCTTTGGAGTGCTGCTCTATGAGATAACCACTCTTGGAGGAATGCCGTATCCATCTGTATCGCCTAGTGACTTGCTACAACTTTTGCGACAAGGTCATCGCATGAAGCGTCCCGAGGGATGTTCAGATGAAATGTGGGTTCAATAATAATTAGCATACATGTTGTTAGTCTTATCTGAGTTACTTAGGTTTGCATTGATGGAAAGCTGCTGGAGTTCCGTGCCATCTCATAGACCTACATTTTCTGGTCTAAAACAGCGACTAGGAGCAATGATTTCGGCCACAAATGATATGCCGGAACGACTAAAACAACTGCAAGCTGCAACTGAATCTAAATCAGAGTCATGTGACGTTATTCACAGGTGAGCTAGAATCCTTACAAAAATTACTTAATAACTGCATGTATTCGTCCGGTTTTAGTAAAGTGGAACAGCTTCCCTGTGAGGAGGAGCCATATTTGGAGCCCCTTAATTGATCGCCATTAGAATTAAAAGATCAGGAACGAGTGCAATACAAAATTGTTTAATAACAAATTATATCGTAGAGTTCCAGTTCTAGTTAAGACAACGCTCACAAGCAGATACTTCACTTTTACCTAGAAATAAACGTTAAGGATAGAGTCTAGAAAGCAACACTGATGTATTGATAGTCAGCAGGGTATAGTAGCTTTGAAGACATAAATCAAATTTGAGGGATTCGAGAAAAGATAAAATTAATATTAAACAAAAAATTCCTTAGCTAAGAATGTAATTAGGCTATGCCCGTATTGTCATTGGTTTTAGTACAAATTAGCCTCGAAACCACAATTGTTGCCATCGCCTTGCCAATTCAGTTCACCTCCGGTGGCAAAGGCTTCAATAGGAGTTGATTATTTTGGACAGTAAGGCGTTATATCGTCATCTATGAAAATTCCAAATTGAAAGTCGTTCCAAGCTGTCTTGTTTGCAAAGTATTCTTATTATAGACGATGTGCATCCACTGCTGCCGCCTTCGCCGGACTCCATGCCCACCAATCCCGTACAGCTGTCCCCACTGCCCGGTGCGCACCATCTCCAGTTGCTGTCCTTTGGGCAGTCGACCCTTCACCGAAAATCCCTTTATCAGGGCCCAGGATCGGGAGTCAGATTCCGGTCCCTGTGACGTCCTGCCTCCCCGCTGGCTTGAAGTCAACCGTCGGGTCATTTACGACCTGGCAAACAGTCTGGATCGATCCCCTGAAGCAGCTCACTATATGTTGCTTCGCCTGCTATATGCCAACTATGGAAAGGTGATGATGATATCCCGAAAACGGAGGAGCTACAAGGTGCCCTTAAGTGGCTATCCTGACCAAGATCTCTTCTCCGCAAGTGACCTTTTCGATAGCGATGGCTACCTCTCCGATCCCATGGCCCCGGAAACTCTGGGAAAGCTTCTCCGCATGATTCAGGACTACATCTTTCGGTTGAGGGCGCTGAATCAAAGATACAAATGGTTTGGAAACGGCGAAGATTTGGGAGAAATACTGTTGTTGCTGGGAGAACAAGATGAACTTGTGAGACTGTTAAGGGAACTCTTTGGAAACACCGATGTGGTGCCCATTTCACAACTCCTTAAAGCTCTCAACGATATGGAGTTCGTTGACTTATTTGGAAAGTGGAAGAAGAAAGCCACACCATCGCTGGTGCGAAGCATATCCGATCTCTACTCGGAAGTGACGGAACCGAAGAAACTAGGACCATCCCGTCCGACAAACATCCCAAGTCGCTGTTTAAAAACTAATCCAACAGCCAAAATGCACTGCACCCAAACGCCAAATCGCCTAAAGTCACCAAACGAATCTTCTGCCCAGTCCGAGAAACCTAAGCTCTACTATAAACCTATAGACGCTGTCATAAAGGACGGCCGAATTGCCCGGAATCGGACGCCGCACTATAGAATTCCGGAGGAGCAGCTAATTCAAGGTGGTTTGCGAGGGAAGGTCTCTGTGTATAGCAAAAGTACGAATCGTTTTGCCTAGCGACTGGCAGAATAATTCCACAGATCTTACAAAGGTCAACAGGACGATCAGTAGCAAAAGCAAATCGTAACTGCCGCAATCCCTTTAATTTCGCCCAAGCTAAGATAAACTTAAGTTTTCCCCATGGAGCCAACCAATGAATCTGACAACTGAACCAAAGTATATAATTTTGGAGCTGCTGTCCAATACATTGGTTGCCCCCAAGATAACGCATGTCAAGCTATGTTTTTTTTTTTTTTTAACCAATTTTAGCCATATTGAATAAATCCCTAGATGATTAACAATATTGGCCAACTGAGCATTCAAAACAAATACCTTATTTTGTAGACATTATGAATCAACTCTAACAAACTGCGAAAAAAGGTGCTTTACTTGTGCGCCGAAACTGTAACCTTTAAAGCACTGAGGTCAAGTGGTCAATTAGCCATTTATCGTACAAGGCAAACTATTCAGAAAATCATACGCGCTAAAGAGATTAGCAAATAAACGTGTACGATGTGTAGGTTACTGGTTTTCCCGTTTCCCCTTTATTTGCAATTATAGACTGCGAGTTTAATTGACTTGAAAATATGTCTAAAAAAATATTGTTGGGTTTTCAACATGAAATCCCCAGCAAAAACCACGAAAAACCAACAACTAGCCATTGGTTGTATAAGGGTGTACTTCTTTGCACGTATATACATATGGATTTAAGGTAAACATAAGTGTACATCTTTAAGTGGGAGCAGCGTTATCCCCACTACAAGTATTTATCTTTGGACTGCATGCGGCACTCGAGGAAACAGATCACGGGATCGGCTTCTTTCCGTGCTAATTACGATTATAACCCAGACCAAGTATGTTGCGCGCCTGGGGAGAAAAGAGGGGATTAGTGGATCTGAAATAGGATTAGGCAAAGCTGCCTTTACCGTTATGAACGCCGAGTTGAAGGAACGTTGAAACGTGTGCGTCATGCCCTCCGTCTGGGACAGCATCATTTGCAGCTGCACAGCCTCGTCCATGCGGTTCTTCAGGAAGTCCCACGTTTGAGCGTGTCCCTGGGAAGTGTCCTGCAGGAAGTACAGCTCGGTCATCTTCATGATGGTCGCCAGACCCACGCGTCTTGTGTACCAACCGAACTAAAGTAATGGTACTGATTAGAATAAATGTTTATAAAAATAAAAAAAATACGTTGTTGATATTTTATAGCTAAGAGTATGAAATTCGAACACTTTGTTCCATAATTTTAGTTTACAGAACTTTAGGACATCTATTTGAAAATACTCACATCGACGGAGCGATCCCCCGAATAGTAGCAGATGTCATCCACCAGGGTGAGCACTTGGGCCAGGGCTGTGGGCGCATGTTGAGGCTGCGCTATCAAGGCCATCGCCTGGGGCCACTGCGCCTTATAGGGGGTGACCATTTCGAGGCGCTGGCGCACTGCTTGCACCAGAAAATCGAGGGGATCATCCACTGCCTTCTTGCCGCCATCTGTATCTTGCTGCAGGCTCTCTACCAGCTGGGCGTTACACTTGCCATTAAAGTGGGAGACCAGGGCGAAACCACCTTCAGGAAACATGCCGTGCACCACGCTGGGATAGCCACTCTCCTCGGCACCCAAAATAATGGCCTGCCGAGTCCAACCTTGCTGGGGCACATGTTGCAAAGCAGCATCTAGGATCTTGACCCTTACGGCATCCACTTTCGCCTGCTTGGCATCGTCCTGTTGGCCGCCAGTGTCTGATCCTGTTGCTCCCAGTCCACCTCCTGCACCAGTTTCTCTTTGTGTTTCCCTTGCCGCCGCCTCATCGGCCGCATCCCGCTCCTTTTCACGTTGCTCCTCGCGTGCCCGAAAGTCGTTTAGGTTAGTGGTCTTTTCGTCCTTAGCATAGCTTCTTGCCAGGAGAAAAGTCAAAGGTCTCGGCTGCAACGGAGCCAAACGGGAGCTTTGTCCATCTGCAACCAAAAAACTCAATTTAGTTGTATTTTAAAGTAGTTAAAAACGTTTAACTGCAAATGATTTGTTGAGCATTCAGTACGGCTTTCCTAAGTAAATGTATATAAATCTATATTGTTATTATATATTCATAATGCTTTTTTCACATCAAATGTTCTTGTACAAATGGAAATGAAGAATTGAAGTCAGTGCACAACAACAAATTTCCCTATATTTGTGTTTAGGTCAGGTGTTAAATACCCAGAATCCGCTTTAATTCGTATATGCAGCTAGGTTTTAGTTCGCAGATCATATTGCAAAACCCGCATTGTTGGCCAGTTAATTAGCACGCCACAACTGGCTCAATTAGCCGTTTAATTATCGCCCCATCCAAGAACCCCCAAATCACAGAGATACGTTTCAGTTTCAGTTTCGTTTTCTTTTTTAGTTTTGTTTACACACAAAGTTTACGTTATCATTTCGCTTTCATTGTGGACCGAAAATATGATCTAAGCTTCCGATGGATTGGCGTTTCGACGCTGGCGGGAGGACTGCTCGAGGATCTCGCTGGCCCGCAAGTATAAAGATTGCAGTGTTTCCAGGCTGGTGATCGAACTGGCCAGCACTTCGAGCTTCTCCTGGCGTCCAATATCCGGCAGACGACTGTCTCCCTCGCCGCCAGCCATCCCGCTGTTGGTTATGTTTACGGCCAGCATGTTGAGCTGGCGTTGCATAAGCTCATCGTCCGAGGCACTCTGGCCTTTTTCCACCCGATCCTTGTACGCCTTGTAGTGGGCCATCGAGAAGTTCAACGCTTTTCCCAGGGGATCCAGCAGTCTTGTCACAATCTCCGGCAAAGCCTGCCAGAATCCAGTGAGATCCGTTTTGTCCCGCACAGCAAAGTATCGCAGGATATTCAGGGCGTGACACAGGCGATCAGCGTGCAGGAGAAGGTCGGATTTAACGTCATGGGGCAGCACACAGACGCATAGCAGTAGCAACTCACGAAATTGCTTGCCACTGTACGCTTCAGGCAAAGGATCAGGTTCCTTCAGGGCCTCATCCACCAGATCCTTGTACATCCCTCCCAGGTACCCCATCAGTCCGTCGTGCTGCAGCGTCTCCAGCAGGTTCTTGAGGATGATGTACTTTCCTTGGTCATCGAACGCCAGTATATACTGTCGCAGCACATGGAGTCCCAGCTGCCGAAGAGCAACCTGCGGTGAGTAGCCCACAATCTTGCAAAGGGCCTCGCAGAAGCGCTTGTGGACATCTAGCTGCAGGGAACTGGTGGGCACTGGATCCGCCAGGGTGCTCAAGAGGTGCTCCACTAATCGGAGGCCGCAATACTGTAGTGGAGGTTCCTGCTGTTTAAGCAGCACTTCCGACAGGTAGACAATCGACTCAAATAGGAACAGAGGGGCATATACCTTGGGCACGTTGGTGGGCAGTTGGTTGCCCACAAAGAGCGAGTGGTAGTACATGGCCACAGCGTGCAGCGGCAGCTTCTCCTCGATGAGAAAGACATTCCGGCAGCTCATCTCGTACACGCCCTTCTGGGCATCCAGCTTGCGCTGCCACCTGGCGCGCTGTTCCACGAGGTTGAGCAGGTAGAAGGGATCCCCCAAGCACTTGCTAGCATCCTGGCTTAGGCTCTCCGTCACCTGCTGCACATAGGTGCGTGTGAGGTCCTCCTTGACATGGCTCATCTCCAGCAGGGCGAGCGGACGACCCATGAGTTGAATAAAGAAACACGTTAGTATGTTGCGCCGGTTAAGAGCGCAATCTTTGAAGGTTTCACTGGAGCTCCTAACGTCCTGCTGTAGCATTTCGCTTAAGAGCGGCTGACGAAAGATTCCCACGGTGATGTAGTGGGCCAACAGGTCCTCCACCTGCTCGTTCTGCTCTATTAGACGCGCTTGAGCTTCATCGTAGCCCTCGGAGAGGTACTTGGGCAGGGGTAACTCCCTTAGCCGGGTGAAGACGCTCTGGAGGCTCCATTCCACTGCTTGCGGCTTTTCGCGACCCTGTCGCTGCAGGACCACTTGGAGTGCTCTTAAGAGGGCTCCAAACACATTGAGGCTGCTGCTCTCCTCCAGTCGCTCCATCAGTTCCAACATGAGCTCCTGCAGAGGAGCAAACTTTGCAACCAGCTTGAGCAGCTCGTCGGAGCAGTCGAAAAGCTCCGGCTCCAGGGAGTTGACCTCGTCGGTAAGATTTCCGGAGCACACGTCGTGGTAGAGATCCATGGCGATGTGGGGCATTAGACGGGTGGTCCTTTCCGCTTCCTGGGAACTTTGGAACAACATTCGCACGCCGTCGTAAGCTTTTTCCAGCAGAAGCTGTTTGATGAGCTGCAGCAAGTTCGACGCCGCCACGGCATCGGCTACATCCACATCCATCTCATGTTCCATTTTATTGGATGTTTTTGGTTTTCTTTTGACGATATTATGACCGTGAACTAAAATTTTGTTTTACAATTTTAAGGCCGCCGGCATTTAGCAGTCAGCATTTTACACTTCCTTCTCACTCACACAAGTTCACTTCTTCTCTTTCGCACGCACGCACTACTCGATCGACCAGCTGTTTTTCGGGTTGCAGGCTCTCTTTCGTAATAAGCACACGCGATGAATTAACGGATAACAAGTTAAATTGGGAGTTCCCACTACTTACTGAGCGGCAGCAGGAGCTTCTGCAGGCGGATTAGCTTGTGCAAACATCGCACACTTGCCATTTTAGCGGCTTGAAATCGTTGGACCAATTGAAATCGGTTTTTTTGGCATTCACCAGGAAGCCAACTTACGCAGTGTTGGCAAACAGTTTTCTTGGAGCGTTTTGGTACTTTTAGTATTTAAAAAAAATTACTTCTTTTCAAAATTTGTCTGGTTGCCTATACGTTCAGTTAATGCAAAGAAAACTGCGAAGTGTTCACACACAATTAACAAAAAATAATTAGACTTTTTTAGTAGTTGTTTTGCTGTTTTCAATGTTTACAAATACATAGCAAGGAATTATTGGTAATTTTCCTTAAAATATAGTAGAAATCATTCTGATTTTAAAATAGCATATGTAATATTTTTAAATTGTTGAATTCGGAAAACAACCAAGGCTGGCTAAAAAGTAGCTAACATGTAATCCCTAATTACCAAACTAAATACGGTGCTGATGCCAAAAAATAGCTAGATAAGGCCACGGCCGAATGCCTGTGACAGTCTCTGGCCACACTGGGTCGAAACCTTAACGAAACTGGCTGGTTGCGGGTCGAGTGTTTATTAATTTTTAAGCGATTTTCGCAGACTAACTTCACTTCGCCGGAATTAGTTAGTCATAAATTAAGGGCTGGCCGGCCCGAAAAGCACTTCTTTTAGAAATTGGTGTATTACACCTGAAATCCGTGAAACCCAGATACTAAAAGAAAAGTGAGACGAAAAGCGAATATACACAAATAAGCTGGCAAATTGAAAAGAAAAGTTCTAAATTAACAAATAAAACAGCAAAATTAAAGCCAAGAATCGGAGGAAAAGCCCACTGCTGTCTGTGCGGCGGCGTCTCAGTGAACTTTCCGTTTTTCCGATCCGCGACGAGGGTGGAAAACGCGTGAAAAACCGAAACGAAAATCCTGCGTGTGTGTGTGCAAATAATGTGAATTAAAATCGCCTGGTAAAATAAAAAAGTTTGCCAAAAAATAAAAGGTAGAGGACGTGGAAAATGGGCAGAAAGGCGGAGTGAAAGATGGGCGACTATTAGTGCGGGAGCAGCTTCAAAATCCAGTTTCGGGCTGCAAGGCGTGTCAGGATTGAAATCGAACCACCACCAACACAATCAGCAACAACAGCAAAAACAGCCGCTTTGAGCCAATTTTGTTGGCCCTTTTCGTGGTTATTCCTGTTTGACTTCATTTTCACCCAGCTTTCGCCGCAGAATTTTGCATTTCGGAAGACAAAATGTCGACGCGCTCGCAATTAACCAAGGACCTCAACGGTGAGTAATGCTCGCTCTCTCCCCTTTCTCCGAGTTGCTCTCTCTTTCACCTCCTTTCCCTCCTCCCCTTTCACCGTTCTTTGTTTTGAAAAACGCATGAACAAAAACAAATGCAGATGCATCCCTCCGAAACGCTGACGTTTTGTTTTCGCTCTTTACTTTTCTGTTTGGGCCGCCGGCTTCCGTTTTCTTTAAGCGACACCCTAAACATACACACACCCCCAACAAAAACATTGTGACACTGCCACCCACTTGCTGGGAAACTCCCACCCACTCACAGTTTTGCAAGCACTGCAAGCTGCAACTCCGGCCTTGAAGCCATTTTTTAGGAAAACAGTTACACTTAGGTTACTCTTATTTTGATTATTTACACATTCTTAGATGTAAAAAACTTAAGATAAAGAACTTATGTAGCCCCTTAGTCCATTAAAGACCAAAACATAAATTCTTAATCTTAACATAAAAATAAATAAAAACAAATTTAAATAAAAAGAATAAATTTAATTTTGTAAAAACTTTTGTCCATATACTATATTTTTGTATATTTTATATTTTTGCTAAAAAAAGGGTTTATACAAAGAAAGTTCTCATAGACGAGTTGACGATAAGTTGACTTAAAATGAAACGCGCGAACACAAACGATAAACCAAAATAAAAACAAGTAAAAAGTATATATTCAGTAATCAACAGTAAGTCGGCAATGGTTCAATATACATGGCAGTCAAAGCCCGATATTGATATCGTTGAATTGGGGAAACACTGTATATAAACAAACCCATTGTTTAATTGCAGCCAGTAAGCATTATTTACCCATAAACAAGCCACATGGTTACCAATTAAAGCTCTGGTTCCTACGGAAATCGGTTAACGCTTGGCCCGTTGGCATCTCTGCGGGGCGTGAAAACCGATCTGACAAAAGCCGAATCACTCAGCGGCGGCATGCAGACCGCGTAATGCCCCACGACAGGTGTCTGGGCCAATACCAGTCATCTGCTCTTGGTTCCGAACCGAGGGAAACCCGGAAAGAGTTATCGCTCCACTTACTTCGTTTCCAGCTCAAAGCGGTTCGAAATTTAAAACTCAACGACATCTCCGGTGTATTTGTTAATAAAACTGAACTAAATAATTGGCTATAACCGATAGTACAATTTTTGCGATTTTTAGTGCAATAAAAAGAAACAAGGTTAAATTGCTTTGCTAACTGATAACATAGCCTTTGTTTAAATACAGTCGTTTGAATAAAAGAAAGTCCCCTAATCGGTATTTGCTCATTTCGATATGTCGGTTTTGAAACATGACAAGGAATCTGGCTCAAATCGAGTTAACCTGAAACGAAACGTTTTCAAAATACCAAGGAATTTGTTTGGATTAAAGCAAATAGAGTATCAAAAGTTAGGTAGTGTTTTTTTTATCTAGAAAATAATTTTTTTAAACAATTTCTATTAAAAAATTGATTGTATTAAAATGTGTGATATGCTGTTTATCCAAAATATAAATCTTATACGCGTTAAAAAAGAATAGACCAGAGCAATTTATATAAAAATTTATTTATCTTTGACTAGTGACCAAAAAGTGGTTTACGGAAGAAATTTCAGTTTACGGACAGTTGCCACTGATTTTGTTTGATTTAACTTGTCTGATTTAACTTATTTGTGCACAATCATAATCTACGTTTTCCGAACCACAGTGCCTGTCCCTAGGAATTTAACCCCAACTCGTCGCCCAGCTGAGTAATTTCATTTGAGTGCAGTGACAGCAGATTTTCCACCAGTCCGTTTCCTCCTTGGAGCTCCCAGCTTCGTGTGTCCCGTTGGTGGCTCCTGTTCCCAGGCGTGGGCGTTGACACCTTTGTTGTTTGTTTGCTCACTACCTGGTTTGTTTGTGTTACCTGTCGGTATGCTCTACCTGTCATAGCCATCCATCTCCGGCCGCTTGTTCAGTCCTGCTTCTCCTCCAGAACGGAGTTTGCTTCCCGTCTGCCAATTAACGTACTCTGATTAAGTGGGCGGGGACTTGCACAATCACCTCAATGCCCATCACTTATAAAATATTTCAATTTCCACGGCAGCTGCAACTGCAGGGGAATCCGCCGGAATCTGGAGCACTCGCTCCAAATTGAGCATTGACAATTTTATTTATGATGTCTTCGCCAGTCGTGGCTGCTCCGGTTCCAGTTGGCTGTCCAAAATAAACTCGATTTCACTCGCAGGCGGTTGCTGCACCCGAAAACCCAATTGGGCATTATATAATGGGCCCGATCGGCTGCCTGATTTATGCAATTTGGTCCGGGTTCTGTTGTTTTAATTTCCCTGCATCGCTTGGCTCGGCTTCATTTCTTGTTTATTTAATTTAATTTTTACTGTTTGGACACCTGTCGCCAGCAATGGCGCTCATAAATCAACGCCCAAGTCGGTTTCTTTCTGTCCTACCGGGAACAAAAAGTAGGGAGACGTTGATACGAGATATGATAAGGAAATGTATAATGACCTCCAAGAATGGTGTATAAAAGTTTCGTAGCTCAAAAATTCCAGTGCAGTCAAATAGAATATTCAAATTCGGGTCTTGTGGATATTGCTTAAATTGATTGATTGGTTGCCATATTATATATTCGAATTTCTGATAAAGTAAACTCATTAGTTATAGATTGAGGAATTTGTCTTACTTGAGTACCTTAAACCTTGTTTAAACTAATTGCTATTCATTCTTTAAGCATTTAGTATAAGTTTGTTATTTAATAATTCCTTTTTATTTAAGAAATATGTAAGGTAGTGTTTATAATCTCGAAATGTATAACTAATCGATCGTTGCTTGATCTATACTTCCATAGGATCACCCTGTAAATATAATATATCAGATTGTTGTGAAGTTCTCCCCTTTTCGCTCAAATTTTCTCGCTCTCTCTCTCTACCGATAAGTCTAAAATTTGCTGATAAGACGCTCGTAGTTATCAGCGCTCAGTTCTGAAATCGTTGCGATCGGTGCCTGGCCTGCCTTTTCAAAGTGGCAGCGCACTTCCAAGGCTAATTGGCCTGGCTTGCAAATCCGTTAAGAACGCGCCGCCCGCCGCCCGCCTTCCGACTTATAAGCAAATATATCATCACATCGTTGCCCGATAAGTGCAATTACGGGTGTCATTATTATTTTGAACCGTTAGTGCTCGAATGGCTGAAATGTACACGATGGAGATGATGAGTCACATTGACCAGTACTTGCGCCGCATCATTGAGCTGCAGATTCGCGACGTGGTTAAGCAGAACCGCGACAAAGGTGAGCAATTGAAGATCGCATCGGAGGGTTGGGGTTGGGTGGTGTTATAACTTCATTTGTTTACCTTGCTGTATGCGTCATGCACATTCTTAATATTGCCGCTCCACGCCTCAACATTTGGTTCGACTCGCAAAAAGAGATGCCACTTTAGCTACAAATATTTGGCTTTATTGTCATTGCCAATAAATAAACAAAATCATTTTGGCGGCTACCAAATGGTTTTTGAATCTCTGAATCCAGTTAAAGTTCCATTTATGACAACGTATATTTTTATAAAAATAAAAGACCATAACAATTTTCCTCTGAAGGGTAATAAAATGCAAATATTTAATATCATGCAATTGACATTAAACGACAAGACCAGTAAATGTTATTTGTGTTTCGCCCTTTGTTAGGTTGGTTTCTTTTTATTGCCCTTTACGCTCCTCTAATGGCAGATTTATTTTCTTTCAAAAACCCGCCAGCACTGAACCATCTATCGATCTTTGGTTTTGTTTTTCAGTCAGGTGTGATTGTTCAGACCATTTTGCACTTCATAAAGCTTGTATTCCCCCCGTGGGCCCACTCCTTTTTGACCGCACCTTGCCCAACGGAAATTGACTTGTTGAAAGTTTATTGATGGTTTCTCGTCGCTGTTGTTGCTGTTGTTCTGCCTGTTGCGGCCAACTCTCTTTGTTTGTTTACTTATTTGTTTGGCCTGCCTTCAAAGGCTTATCTCGAGCGGTTTGACTGCATTTACTCATCGAGAATACAATTCCCCATACGCATACATTGTAAGTCCCCGGGGCCCCAGTCGTTGTTTTGCAATCACATATACCATAAGTACGCACAAAGCATGCAATAAGGCAAATAAACAAATGTAATGAGTGTGCGTAGTCAGACCTTCTCTTGATCTACTTATACCATAAATAATTGAACGCCTTGAAGTGGCTGATAAATCCATTGAGTTCCGATACGGCTATGATAAGTTCAACCAAATAAGGAACCAATTCTAAAACATAATAAAACAATGAAATTAAACAAATTAATTGAGTTATGCTAAATGTTGATATACTTCGTAAGAGGCTATCCTATGTTAATTGGAAAATAGGTAAAATTTGGTGGTACCCAAAGTTTTGTTGATAATTTCGATTCTAGTAAATAATTCGTAGAAAACGGTGTTTTTATACCCTTGCAGAGCAAAGGGTATTATAATTTTGGCCAGAAGTTTGCAACGCAGTGAAGGAGACACCTCAGACCCCATAAAGTATATATATTCTTGATCAGCATCACGAGTAGAATCGGAATACGTCTGTACGTCTGTCCGTCTGTCCGTCTGTCCGTTTCTGCCTAAACTAGTCTCTCAGTTTTAAAGCTATCTCGCTGAAACTTTCCCAAAATGTGTGTAGTTATTGCACGCAGTATATAAGTCGGAACGGGCCGGATCGGCCGACTATATCGGATAGCTCCCATACGAGAGAATGAAGTAAAAAATTCTTACTCCGTTGTTTTTGATCAGATCGACTTGAATTCTTCAAGATGGCGTTTTCTAACTGTTATTGAATTTCGGATTAAATTTGATCAAAATCGAATAACTCTATCATATAGCTGCCATAGGAGAGATCGAAAATTATATATAGAATTAATGGAAATAAATTGATAACATCGTTGTTTTTTATCCCACGAGCATGATTTTTTGAATATAAAGTTTTTTAACAACGTTTATATTGAGAAAAAAGTTTCATAAAAATCGG